AAATCATGGATACATATACAAAATTAATAATGACATTTTGAAAGTGCAGTAACTCTTAAAAGACAAGTTGCAAATTTATATTCATTGAATTGTATTTTTATTGAATTATATTTATAGTAATTGGTATTTTATTAACATTTTAGAATATGTGATATAAACCTGTTGAAACTTTATATTTCGAGAATTGAGCAAGCTTTCTTTTAAAAATCGCATTCCCGTTTCCTAAACGGAATATACTGAAAAGTTGGTCGAGTTTGGCGCAGTTTTCTCGTTATAGGACTTTCAACGCTAATTTGATTGAAGCTAGCGTGTATTATATTATAGCCTATATTTCTAGCCCGTATTGTATATTATTCTGGTATTAGCTTCTAATGTTCGTTATGCACAGACAATTTTACCAAATAGTAAATATAAATGTGCATGTTACGTAGTACTGATGCTATGCACCATTGTTTGACATCATGAATCAATAATGTAATACTATCTTTGATGTCTACTGTAAAGATATCCCTGATGTCTATTATAATGATATCTTTAGAATTTTATTTCTCTATATTGAATGTAATGACATAAAGCCATTTCTCACTGTTTTTGACACTCCTCTCACTGGGCAGAAAATAACATGGTTAATTTCCTAAGAAGATTTAAAAATTTTGGACTGTTATGAACTTTAAACTAATTAAGGTTCTAACACTATTTACCTGCAAATAATTTTATTATCACTTTTTGAAAGTTTTCATTCTATTCTTTATTTGATTATAAAGGTATTTGCATTGCTATATAATATGGTATCGTATTGATTACAGATAACAATCAATTTAGGAAACTCTATTGTCTGGGCGAAAACAGGCATTGTTACGTGAGCTCATAAAGTCATAAAGTTATAACGTTAATATTTGCTCATGACAAAAAAAAAATAAAAATACTACTCTTATTTTAACACAGCAAAGTTTTACTTCCAATTTTTTATGGACACGCAATTTACATTGCGTAATCCTTTTCATATTTTATGTTACATAAAGTGACCTATTTAATAATCGCTTAATACTTTAGGAGGAAAAAGGCTTTGAAACTGGTTAGGTTTTAAAAATAACATATGTCGCAAGCTAACTACAAAAAACGTATTTTGACTTAAATATAAGACACACAAAGGAACTAACACATCATAAAAAGAGTTGATTAAATTTTAAAATTTTATGATTTTATTTAGTTTCCTTGAAAAGAAATTTAGATGCACTGTAAAAAATGGATGTTCAAATTTCACAAAACTTTCATCGTTTTTGACGAAAACGTTTCCTCTGAGCGAAAATTTCGCCGAGGTGATGAAATAACTATCGTGACTTCTTCGAAAAAACGATTTTTCAAAAAAAAAAAAAAAAAAAAAAAAAAAAAAAAAAAAAAAAAAAAAAAAAAANAAAAAAAAAAAAAAAAGAGAAGCAAAAAAAAAAACTTACAGCGCCTAATGTATCTATCTAGCAATCAGACTATCGCAATCGTAATCATTATATAAGTGAATCAATGTCGCCCAAACAGCACAAGTAGGGCAGATAAAACAGATACATAAATTACACACAAGCCCGAAGCTGGAATCAAACCCGGGATCTTCCTGTTACGAGGATAACTCTTTGACTAATATCGGTCGACAAGCTTTGTCACTTTATTTTCTATCTTTTAGTTTTCATTATAGTGAACAATACTTCCCAATGCACAGCAATGAGGTTTCTAATTGAAGAAAAATTTTCGTCATATATTTGAAATTTCGTGTTTTATTCCGAAATAATTCTCAAAATTAGCGAAACACAACTCAAGGATTGCTGAATCGTCAAAAGTGAAATTTTTATTTGCTAGAGTATAGATTGATAATGCATTCTTTAAGCTAACAACTATCAATGAATTTAAGCTATACTTCAGTTACTTTTTTCACTTACTACCATAGATCACGATTACTTGGGATTAAATATATAGTGGGTAATACTTCTTTAATTCAGAGGGGTTTCAAGATGTTTCACATTTAATGCGCAGTAGCATCAAAAGAAATACTGATTCTAATAATTGTTCTTTGAAAATTTTTGCTGAATTAAATTAGTCAATATTTTAGTCTAAACAGAAATATTTTTTACGAATGTAATTTTGTTAAATTATACAATGCATTTTAAATTTGAACTGTAACTTTCCGCAGAAATAGATTTATAAATTACCCTATAATCTGAGTTTAAACAGTTCAGAAATTAATTTGGCACATTTATACCTCGATTTGATCTGTAATTTTTTCCGGTAATAACAATTTGATATTTTTTAATTAAGATTTATTTAAAATTTTAATATAGCATGACTAACATTTTTACCACCTTTTATATTTTGCTCTTTGACAGTGCTTTGAAAAACGCCTATAAAATAAGGTTACACAAAACTGAAAGTTTCAGAATACTGATTATTTCACATACAAGTAATTTGGCGGAAATTCGTAAATTCCGCTCATCAGAATTTGAGCGGAAAGAAAATTCTGTGAGGTACCGTTTCCTTTATAGTTGTTTTAGACTGAATCAAATGACATAAAATAGGACAAAAAATATTGCAAAAGGTTTTACTATAGAGGATTTCAAAAGATCAAAATAATTTTACGTTAAAATCCTTTCATATTGAACTCCATCCTTTGCGATTTGATTAATTAATTCCGAAGTTGCAGGTAATCCATTCTTTCATGGATTGTTTGCATTCATAAATGTAGACAAAAAACTAGTATTTCTTTTCCTTCGTAAGAAGCACTGCAGAAATTGGTAACACGATAAAATTGAAGTATGCGACATCTCTATTGTAAATGCATTCAGTCACTGAAATGTAACAAAGTAGTTCCAGAGGAGAGAAATTAACAACGGTTTCTGACTTTTTTTTAGAAATCTTTCGTGACATTCAGATTATTTTTTTTCGATAATAGTGACAAAGAACAGTATCATGATTTCAGGGGAAAACAGGAAAGTTTAACCAGACCTTTCTCCAGATCTAAATCCCATAGAGCATGTGTGGGATGCATTAGGGAGACGTCTTGCGACACAACAGTATCCTCCTGGTAACACCCATCAGATGAAAGATGCGTTAAAGGAGAAATGGAGACGTTTACCCCAAGAACTCCTGGATGTTCTGGTGCTTAGCCTGGAGAGACGATGCCAAGCAACAATTACAGTAAGGGGAGGGCATATACCATACTAGGGAACATCTGCCAGTTGTACTTACGCTTCTTCAGGCAATCATGTGTAACTCCACCATATGTCAAATAAAGCCTTTTTTTGTTCCATACCCTACTTAAAGCTTTATATTCATTTCTGCTCCATTATTGTTTTACCATCGTTTAAGTATAAAATAATGTACATCCTATTCAAATTTCATGTCAATCGGATGATTTCTTGTAGAGTTATGACGAAAAACGTACTTGTTGCTTAAGTTTTGCAAATCAGTGTATATATATATACTTGTATATATATATCGGGAACTACCACTCTCCGGTTCACAGAAAAATGGTTAATGGTAGAGGCTGGTTGTTCTTAGAGGTTACCTCCAGTGAATTAAATTTTTTTTTTATCAAAGATACATGACTTTTCTCAAACGATTTTAATTTTAGTCAGTGTCATCTTCTTGGTGCGGAAATATCACTTTTGTTGGCGTCATTAAGAGACGGATCGATGAATAAAATTTAGCGTCTATAACTGGTTTAATTATATGCAAAAACAAATTTATCAAATAAAAATGATAAAGTTATTTTAAATAAATAAAAAACCATGTATTTTGTTTACATTTGCTTATTTGAGGTTTGTTTAAGATGCTTGTTTTTTCTAATTTAACTTTCCACTCTTATGATAAAATCATTGATAGCATCGTCTTTAGTGCACTGTGATTGCAACATGAGGTTATATCGTCAAAAAGAGCTCTTTAAATAAGGGCCTCACACAAATATTTTAAATAAATTTTGATCTGCGTATTTGCTTTTTTCCATTTTTTGTTCTTGATATTTTTTCGTGTTTCCTTATTTGACCTTTTCCGCATTTTGTGAAAATGTTCTACCAGTCACTGGGAGAGGTTTTAATGGTCTCTCTTAACACAAAGTCTAATAAATTCCGTGCCTCCCGAAAGTGGTCGTATAATAGATGCCCTTGTCTTCCCTGGAGGTAGAGGTTTCGCAGTGTATATATATANTTAGTATATATATTTCCAATGTCACAGATAATTTTTGTCTTGATAAGGTTTTGGAAGATCTCACCGTTATTTGCGACTGCCCTATTCTGTTGAGTATGATATCAAACTTTTTTCTTTCCAATTTCAGGTCAATTGAAAAGAACAAAAGGGATAAAATAACAAGAAAAACAAGGCAAAAAGAGATAAATAGAATAGAATGCATAGTGACATGCTTAGCCCACACGAGCCTTAGCCTAACAGTAGCGTCCACACACAGTAGTGGAGAAGACCGCAGGACAGATGGAAATATGGGGCAGGTCCATGTCCTCCCCAAGGCGACAGAGCTTGCATTTAGGACAGTCAGAAATGTTTATACTAAAAAGGTGTTTGGTCAGACAGTCATGGCCCGTTACAAGTCTAAAGAGAGCAACTGCCTTAATCCTTGACTGATTTGGGATAGTTAAAATATGGTTGAACCAGGTTTTGTGTATATTGTTTTTATGGAAATTCTCTGAGAGCATGTTCCAGAATTGGTGACGGACCGGCAATTTAAATGAGTGCAGAGAGATGGAGCAACGGGATGCTTGGGCAATAGTTGTTCCTTTCTTGGCCAAGAAATCAGCCTTTTCATTACCCCAAATCCCGCAATGTCCTGGGATCCACTGGAGGACGATTTGCTTGACTTTTAGTGTCAAGACTTTCAGACAATCAATGCATTTCTGAATGGAGATGGATTGGGGAATCAGTGGAGAGTTAATATCAAGAAGTACTGCTTTAGAGTCAGATAAGATGACGGCGCTAGAAAATTGGTCAGTACGACACTGTAGTTGTTTTTAGGCAATTAGAATAGCTTCAATTACACCGTCGTAGGCAGATGCATAGTAGCCAAAAGAAGCGTAGGCAGAGAACAGGTGACAAAATACTCCAGCTCCAGCACTCACCCGCTGATCCACTCGGGAGCCATCTGTAAGGATTCTCAACCATTCAGGTTCAGGATACAGCTCATTCATAGTTGCGTAAGAGGTACCTTTAAGGACATCACAAGCAAAATCTGATTTTAGGACTCTGAGAGCAAGGTCTGTGGCCACATTGAAAGTCTGATAGTCCAGTGGGCTACAAGGAGTGGGAAGAATTTCAGTCTCAATAAAAAGGTTGTATTTGTCTTTTATGCTCAGCACCTCCTGTAGGAAACCAGCTTGAGTTTCTAAGTGGCGCTGCCTGGGGCTCTCTATGATATCAAACTATCTTATGCAAAATGGCCCTCATCTGCATCGGAATATTTTCGGAAATACAATACAAAAAATGAAAATAAAAATTTTATTTCCGGATATCTGGCATCATTGAAAATATATTTCTCTAATTTGAAGCTAACTTCTTATCTAAAATCAGAGAAATGTATTTTTAATGATGCTTGACAACTCATACGATTATATAATTTGTCAAAAATACAGATTGTAAGACTACCATATCCATATAGATCAGTGTATTCATGACGAACTTGATGATAAATATCCATTCTGCAACCACAATACTAAAACAACCTGTAACGTAAAGGTAAAAAATTTTATTTACCATAAACTTTACTGTTAATCAGATGGTCAGACTGCTCTCAGTTATTTTGCCATAATTTAAGAATGGAAATTCTAATAGTGTATGTTTATTAAGAGAAAGTACATTTTTGAGTCTTCGATTTCGTAGCTTAAAATATCATCTGCACTAATTAAGAAATTTTGAGGTTAACCCATTGAACAATTTAGATTGAGTCCTAAAACGTGATGATCCGATTATTAGATCTATCTTTGAAACTATTCTTTAAGCTAACCCTTTTTCCTAATAGTTACCAACTGTTTTGAATTGAATAACGGTAGAAGGTGAATGTTTATTTATTTACAGTGATTTAGTGATTTTACAATAAATATTTCTATCCATGAAAACTACGATATTTTACAATAATTTTTATTTACTTACAGTAATTAAGTGACTTTAACGTAAATATCATTTTAAAAATTACGATAAATAAGATTTTTTAGTTTCGCAAAATTTTACGTTAAGAATGGACTTTACAATAAAAAGTGCTAATACCTTGAGTGCTGGATCTTTTTACCAGAATTTTTTTACATTGCAGGTTTTAAATGCATTAATACTCTTTTGGTCAGTGTTAGACAGATTTTTCAGCCATAAGCCTCGTGTGTCATGTCAGTTTAAGACAAATATCGAAAATCAACCCTGGTTTATTAATTCATAATTTGACTTCAACAATTATGCAAGCTTTTTAGCAGTTATAATGGTTTAATTTAAATGATGACTTATACCACTTCATTTGTGAATTTCCAGAAAACAAAAGTTTATAAAAATTAGTTCTCTTCTAATTTTCATATCAGCGATTATTCTAATAAAAGATTCCCAATAACACGCATTATTGACAGCAAAATGACATAAAAATAATTTGAGTTTCTTTATCAGAGTAAAGGATTTATAACAACTTATGTAAATAAAAATGGTAATTTCGTGTTCCATTAATATGAAATTCTAAAATGTTTTTTTTATTCTTTCGCTAATGATTTTGGATATTCACTTTCAATTTAATTCAACTGGCTAATTTTTGAAGAAATAAAATTTTCGAAACTCCTTTCAAAGATAGTATAAATAAATAATTTTTTTAAAAGGTTTCTTTGTCTACAGTCAGATATTATCTTTGTTGACTCATCAAATTAAATTTGATCAATCGTTCAAACTAATATTAAGAATGAAAGTTACTCTAGAGAAACTTCTTACAAACATGATCACTTTAAAGATGAGTAAATTATTTTGAAAGCGAATAAACATTTCTAGATAATTGGAAGTCATGATGTATTATTTAATTTAATGAGTACTGAGCAATAAAGATATCTAGAAATAATTTTAAAGATGAGTGATTTACCTGTCACTGAATGAATATTTCGACTAACTTGGGAATAGAAGAGATGCTTATAATCTTTATAATTATTGACTTTCTTTTAATTTCTTTCAAATAAAATGAAGAATGTGAAACAGTAATATTAATTCGATATCACGAGAAGGAATTAAACTTCATAATAACTGCAGAAGAAAGTACTTCTATTAATTCCTCTAAAAAGTGCTTACTTTTAAAACCATTTTCAAATGAATTCATTACATATTAGATTCAATGGATGTAATAGCTGGATCGTAAATTGTGCTTTCATAATTTTTTAAAGAGGATTCTTTAAAGAGTTCACATGGAAATAGTGAAACTTATTTTTCAGATGCTGAAGATGCATTAAATATTACTCACATTAATTTTGTGTCAAAATATTTCCCCTCTTTCTTCTAAAAATGATTTTACTTTAACTAAAATAAAGATGTCTGTTACAGATTACTTGTAACTTTAATTGACAGAAAAATTTTATTGAGAAAAATTGCATAGCAAAAGTGTATCCTATTTCTTCGAAAGACTACTGAATTAACATAAAAAATGAATGAATACATTCCAATCAATTTGAAAACAAGAGATACTGTACAACATGATGAAAGCATGAACATAAATGAAATCGTTACAAGTAAAATAAGTAGAAAATGTGCAAAAAACATAAAGATATATTCGAAACAAGGGAACTGTCAACTGAATAAGCAAAATTGTACTTAAAAGTTAACTTCTAGCCCTCGTGATCAGGACTCAAAAGATTCACCAATTCAAGCCTTATCGAAAATCAGAAAGGCAGACACAAAAGTTAGAAAATTAACTTGGTTGTTATTACTGTTTATAGGAATCGGTGGGTGTGTTTATGAGATGCAGAAATTTTTAAAAGTTTATCTCACTTTTCCTATTGTCATTACAGTAGAGGATGAATACGAGTCGAAACTGAAATTTCCTGCCGTTACTGTCTGCAACTTGAATCGACTGAAAACTGTGTATGATTATTGCAGAAACCCTGACATCATTAAGGGTTGTTTAATCAAAAATGCAGATAAGGGATTTGTGNATTATTTTGAAAGCGAATAAACATTTCTAGATGATTGGAAGTCATGATGTATTATTTAATTTAATGAGTACTGTGCAATAAAGATATCTAGAAATAATTTTAAAGATGAGTGATTTACCTGTAACTGAATGAATATTTCGACTAACTTGGGAATAGAAGAGATGTTGATAATCTTGATAATTATTGACCTTCTTTTAATTTTTTCAAATAAACGAAAGAAGGTGAAACATTAAGATTAATTCGATATCACAAGAAGTAATTAAACTTCATAATAACTGCAGAAGAAAGTACTTCTATTAATTCCTCTAAAAAAAGGTTACTTTTAAAACCATTTTCAAATGAATTCATTACATATTAGATACAATAAATGTAATAGCAGGATCATAAATTGTGCTTTCATAATTTTTTAAAGATGATTCTTTAAAGAGTTCACATGGAAATAGTGAAACTTATTTTTTAGATGCTGAAGATGTATAAAATATTACTCACATTAATTTTGTGACAAAATATTTCCCCTCTTTCATCTAAGAATGATTTTACTTTAACTAAAATAAGGATGCCTGTTACAGATTACTTGTAACTTTAATTGACAGAAAAATTTTATTGAGAAAAATTGCATAGCAAAAGTGTATCCTATTTCTTCGAAAGACTACTGAATTAACATAAAAAATGAATGAATACATTATAATTAATTTGAAAACAAGAGATACTGTTCAACATGATGAAAGCATGAGCATAAATGAAATCGTTACAAGGAAAATAAGTAGAAAATGTGCAAAAAACATAAAGATATATTCGAAACAAGGAAACTGTCAACTGAATAAGCAAAATTCTACTTATAAGTTAACTCCTAGCCCTCGTGATCAGGACTCAAAAGATTCATCAATTCAAGCCTTATCGAAAATCAGAAAAGCAGACACAAAAGTTAGAAAATTAACTTGGCTGTTATTACTGTTTATAGGATGCTACATGGATGCGTTTATGAGATGCAGAAATTTTTAAAAGTTTATCTCACTTTTCCTATTGTCATTACAGTAGAGGATAAATACGAGTCGAAACTGAAATTTCCAGCCGTTACTGTCTGCAACTTGAATCGACTGAAAACTGTGTATGATTGTTGCAGAAACCCTGACATCATTAAGGGTTGTTTAATCAAAAATGCAGATAAGGGACTTGTGCCTATTACTGAGAGACGAAACATTATTTCATGCTCATATTTTCGAAATCAAACGGTTTTTAATTCTAAAAGAAACGAATCAGATTCTTTTGCTAGTTACATAAAAATGGATGATAAAAACCGAAGATTTGTTGGACATCAAAAAGCTGATCTAATCAAACATTGTGTTTTTAACATGCATTTATGTTCTCTTGACAACTTTATTCATTTCCAAAGTTTGCAATATGGAAACTGTTTTTCTTTTCACAAAAATAATTTAGAGACGACATCAATAGGGTACAAAAGTGGTTTAAAATTACTTTTGAATGTAGAGACAGAACATTATTCAACTACTACACCTAGCACGGCAATAGGTGAAAGGGTTACGATTCATAATATTTCAGAAGTGCCGAATCCAGAAAAAGATGGAGTAAATATCAGTGCTGGTTACGAAACTTCAATTGCTTTGAAACAATATGATATCGAACGCCTACCATCGCCATTTAAAGATCACTGTCACGATTACCAAATGCATAATTACTATAGTAACTACAGTAACGAAGCTGAATGTTTCAAAATGTGTCGCCAAGGACGAAGTTTGAATACTTGTGGTTGCATTGATCCTTCTGTCATTTTTATTTCGGATTCAAACATTGCGATTTTGCAAACAAAACAGACGTATGTTGCTTAGATGATGTACAAAACCAAATCTCTGGGAATGTTTCTATTTGTGATTGCCCTTTATCTTGTTATTCGACCTCATACCATAGAGAGATATCAACGGCTGCTTTGCCACTCAAATCACGTTTTTTTGTGAATGGAACTAGTTTATTAAGAAATTTCAGAGACAATTATGCCATTTTGAGAGTATTTTACAAAACTTTGTCTCACCGTACGTACAAACAATTAGCCATGTTTAGTAACTCTGCAATATTTAGCTGTTTAGGTAGTGCTATGTCACTTTGGTTGGGTATTTCATTATTTGCTTTTTTTGAAGTAGCGGATATTTTAATTGTCTTTTGTCGTTGTGCGTATCATACCGTTTATAAAATATTGCATAGTTTTTAAATTTCCTACCTGCAAACTAACAAAGTTCCAGCTGTTTATTGATTGGGTGTCCTAAAACACACTTTTGGTCATAAAAAAGTTTATAACAAGAAAACAAATGAGTTTAAAAAAGAATTTTTGCCGGAAATTCATGCGAGAAAGCATAATTTTTTTTCAAGAGTTTCTGGTTTCAATTAAAAAAAATTTCGACAGATGGCTCTATATATGTTTGCAACAGGAAACGTTTCGAGAAAAATTATCGAAAATTAAGTAATATTATTTTTTGATGCGTTTACTAATAGTATGAGATTTTTAATTGTTTTTTTTTATTTATATATTGAATGTCTGCTGCGAAATCTGGAAAAAGTTTTGAACTAAAAACAAAATTTCTGTGAAGTTCTTACGCGAAATTCTTGCTTTGTTATACGAATTTATTGCTAGAGTTATTCCTTTCATCTTTACCGGGGTCGTCGGGCTACCGAAGCAGGGGTGTCATCCCCTCTGCAGAAGATCAAAATTTTATGTCTTGTTTTCGGGTCATCCTCAGGATGTTTCCCTGACCGTCGCCAATAGCCCATTGTGCAGCTCTAGTGCGACGTAAATGAACTACAACAACTATCATCTTTACTGGTTTCTTGTTAGAAAATATTCTTGTTACAATTAATAAGCAGCTATATTCCATTGCAAGTTAAGAAACGTCTTTTCGTATAATATTAAACTTGCGGTATTTGTAGAGCATTGTCTATTTTTAAAAGTTCTTAAGAAAACGTTCGTTCTGCTAACTATTTCTTAATTTGCTTATTTTTAAGGTTTTACCTAGATTTATCTCGTTATGAATTTTTTAAAAACTTATCTATTTAAGGGCAGTTTTTTTTTAAATATCTTTTTGCTTTACACCATTCAATGTTTATGATGTCTTGTTTAGAAACTTTCCAACGTTTCTTTGCCTGCTGTATTTGTAAACCATTGTCTAGGTTTAATAGTTCTTAAGGAAGTAGTTGCTTATGTGGTGCAGTGTCAGTTTTCTTATTTTTCTCCTTCTTCTCTTAAGTTTTCGATATTTTAGCCTCTCACAACATTTGAAGCAGATCTTTAAAATACATAGTGTTTCAAGTGAAATATAAGAGTAAAAAAATAAATACATTTGCTATTAAATTTATGCGAGTCTGAAAATCTTTGGTACTAAAGTGATCCATAGCATTCCAAATTTGATGATTTATAAATTCAAATAAACATTCATTACAATAAGCAAAAAGCTTTGAACAAAATTTTAAGGACATCCCTGAAAGGCAAGAATACCACAAAAAGTTATTTCCAAGAAAATATTTATATTTTGCGCAGTTAAGTTTTTAAACTCATGAACAACGCCCTGAAAAATTTTGCATTTAACTTTTTGTTAACTAATAGCATCATTACAGTACCATGTTTTATTATTTGTTGCGTGCTGAACATCTTATATCATATATTCCTCAATTCTTTCTTCTCTATTGAAGTATTTTAATGGAAAATGTCAAGTCGTTTTTATTATCTTATTAGCCAGTTATTTACAATGCAATCAATAAAAAATAATATTATAGGAACTGCATTTCAAACTTAATAGTGGTTACTCTTTCTAAATATTTACTACACCTCAAGATATTATAAACATGTTGCTCATATAAACATTCATGAAAATTTTAGTTTACGTTCAAGTTTATTTTTGTTTCAAAGCTCAGTGTCATCAGGTAAGCGATTGTCATATGGAATAATGTTATCTGTTTGAAACTCATTATTTTTTGGAGAAAGAAAAAACAAGTTAATTTTAAGCTAAAATACTTAGGATATTAGAATCTATGTATATTTAAAATTTTGCGCAATGAGAAAAAAAAAGTTTTTGAAATAAAGTGAAATGAAATTTGCAGAAAATCACGGAGAAGTAACTATAATTACAAACTATAATTTCAAAGTACCGACATTGAGATAGTATAA